AGGGGATACTCTGTATCCTTTGGAGGCCAAGAAGTTTGAGCAGTGTGGGTGTGGGACTGCACACCGAAAGATAGATTATTTATTTATTTAGGATAAGAAGTTTATCGGAAAGTAGGCGAGCAATGATGGTTTTTAAACTTCTGCAGTGTTGTAGGGAGACAGGGAATGAGGTTTAGCAGGAAAAGAAGAGTTCTTTAGAGTAACGAAAACAGGTTGGTAGTGAGAGGTTACAGATGAAGTGGAAAGATACTATATGATAGGGTTGACATTGCCTGGTGAGTGATACGAGGCTTGGAGGGAAGACTATTAATCCCTATTACTGAGACCTGGGTAGGGAAAACAGAACCCGAGAGAGAAGGGAGTCCTGAACAGGTAGCTCTCCTGCTAATCAGAAAGGAAACTGGTTTGCTTGATACCTGAAGGTTAGTTACCTTGGGAGCTTAGGAGTGGTGAGGATTGTTGAACCTGGGCATCTTCAGTCCTCTGCAGTTAGGCCAGGAAGGTCGATAGGGACTGGATCTGGTGGAGGGACTGACCTTCTTTGACTAGGCGCTGAAGGGCAATCAACCTTCCAATGACCCATTGTCCTACAGATTGGGCAAGGCCTTGTTGGAGGTTGAGGGTTTGGGCAACGGTGAGCCCAGTGACCCTCTTTGCCTCATCTGAAGCATGCCTCAGGAGGTAATTGGCTCTTTGAAGGAGCATTAGTCCTCTGACCCTTCACCATTGCTGGCCATAAGGCAACCAGGAGAGTCTGGGCTTGCATTCTGTCAAGGCACGAGTTTTTTCTGCCAGTTTCTTTCGGGCATTGGAACTTTAAAGATCTCTAATAGGTCTCTAATAGGGTAGTTGGAGGTGAGTGAGGTGTTTGGAGGTAGTTTCTAGCTTTTTCTGTGTGCTGTGAGGTAGCAGTGGGAAGTTGCTGTTCACTTTGGCATTTTTCTCCGCTTTGGGAACTTTTCCAAGCAGGATGGGGGAGGGGCTGTATCTGAGTGGGGGGACGCAGGAGCTGAGAGGTGTGGCGAATTTGCCTGTGTTTTTGCTGCTTATGTGATCAGAGGAGGAAGGTGATGGTTGAAGAGAAGGAAGGTAAAGGAAGAGAGTGGATGTAGGAAACTTTTTCTGAACAGAGTGGGGAGAGAGAGGAGGAAGGCAACCAGACCGGCTGCATCTGAAGGAGAATTGGAAAGGGCTTCCTGTGGTGAGGCTACATTTGCATATGACTGAGTTAGGAAAACAGAGGCTGTAAGGGGTTCTTGGTAGGATTAAAGGTGAGTGAATTTACAGCAGAAAGACGCAGTTTTTGAACACAGAGAGGGACTTTTAACGTTTGTAACTTTTGAAGAGGACATAGGAGGGACTCGGTAGGAGGAGCGCAATAGGAATGCTTGAGTCTGGATTGGTTGGGATAGAAGAGCAACTGGAGAACAAAGAGGTTAACTTGGCAGGAATAACCCTGGAAACAGATGATGTAAGAGGTAGGATAGGAATGGCTGAGTTTGTATTGGTCAGGATGAAGAGGGAGGGCGAGGTTTCAGACAAAGAGATCTACCTTTGGCGAGAATTTGGGCGGTCTTTAGAGGAGATGTTTGGCAGGGGGAGTGATGAAACTGCGACAGAAAGAGTTAGGAGAGGGAAACAAAAGAAAATTTCTTTAATTCCACTGGCAGATAGTGTTTAGATGCCGAACTAAAGGTTTTATTCTTATCCCACTGAGAGTTATTACTTAGCTGGTACTGTGGCCGCTCAGTTACAGAAAAAGGATCTTGAGGCAGAGGTCTTTAGCTAGACTCAAGTGTGAGAGATTTGAGAGAAGGCAGTTCAAGAGACCTTCTCTTGAAAGCTTAGATAGACATTGGCTTCCCATTGTTCCCAGATCGGTGGGTGAGGCAACCAGAATTCCAGAGTGTCCTCTGGAAACCGGGAGTCTCAGGAACTCTTACGAGTGGAGAGAGGCTATTAAGACAGCTTGAGCGTCCTCAGAGCCATCATAGCCTGGAAGAAATGCCTGGCATTTCTGGTTGGCCTTCCAACACAGATCGGGGTTTTTTTGTGGGTATGTGGGATGGAAGGCCAATGGAACAGACCTGGTTTCTCACGGGAGTTCACAATGTTTGGGCTGGAAAGCTTAAAAAGCTTTGGAACAGAGGAACAAAGGCTTAATATGTCTGGAAATCAATTGGGTCTAGCTTTAGGAGCCTCCAGGAGAAAGAGAGGGAGAACACAGAGATCAGAAAGACAAAAGGGGCAGAGATCTGGCCAGCAGCTGCCCACACAGAGCACAGGGGAGAGGGAGGGCAGCAGAACTTTACTTTACCATTCAAGCATCTAGACACTGCACAGACTGGTTCCGGAGAGAGTAAGGGGCGCCAGCACTCACCCTACGGCGGGGGCGCAGCACCTTAACTCATCTCCCGGGTTTCGCAACCCCATATGTTAGGTTAGGCTAGGTTAGTGGACTTAAAGAAGAAATCAGAGAGAAGGAGAGAAAGCTCAATGCAGCTTTATTAAAGGGGGGAAAGGGGAGCTCCCGGGTGATTTCCTCATCCTGGAGAGGCAGAATGGGAAGTCACACTGTGAACTTACTGGGAAGGATTTTTATAAACAGAGTCTTTAGGGAGGGACATCCCACTCTGATTTAGGAGCCACCTGCTAGCTCAGCCAGACAGGCAAGGCCGTTTTCTTATCTTCAACAGCAAGGCCATCAGCATTTGAGTTCTGAATTCTTCATTCTTCTCTTTGGACCTCTTTGCCCAGACTAACAAGATTCATAGTGGTATAGCAAACATGTACAACCAAAAGAAAATCACCTTTGTAGTCTAAGGCTTAGTCAGTATTCAGTATTTTTATGAAATGATTTTATTTTATGAATTTCATTTGTATTATATAAATAAAATGCAAATATTTATTTCTACTTGAATAATGTTTTACATGTAATAAAAATTCTAATAAGTTATGATAATGTAGTCTTTCATGTGTAAAAATCTTGTTTGTCAATCTTAACTCCTTAGGAAAAAACATCTTTAAACTTCCACGTTCACAGTCATTAGCTGCTATTTATGTGATTTGAACTTTTTTTTTCAGTTAAAATTTAATTCTTTTAAAATTCTACAGTGGTTATCTTATCTATCATAGGCTATTTATTTTCATATTATTTTCAAATTTGACTTAGATTTGTTGTTTTTGTTGTTGTTGTTGTTGTTGTTATGTGCCGTCCAGTGGCTTGCGACTCATAGCGACCCTATGAAAATTGACTTAGATACATTTAATTTTCTTTACTTTTACTTTTTCTTATCAATTTAATTTCTATCTTGTCTTTGATTCCCCTTAGCAATTATAATTATATTCTTGAACTAGAAAAATATAGGACAAGAAAAGAGAGAATTGAGGATTTGTAAAGCAAATATGTATTATTATTATTATTACTATTATTATTATTAATTTCCAAGAACTAGAGATATAGATTTAGGGTTACGTTTAGGATTAGGGTAATGGTGTGTGTTAGTCTGCTATGATTAGGGTTAGGGTTTGGGTTAGGTTTAAAGTTAAGTTTAGGGTTAAAGTTAGTGTTAGTGTTTAGGGTTTAGGGTAGAGCTAAAGTTAGGGTTCGGCTTCGTGTTAGGATTAGGTTTAGATTTAGGTTACACTTAGGGTAGGGTAAGAGATAAATATTTAGTGATTATTTTATGATTTCACTGTTTCATTAATGTAACCACTCAAACACAATTAAAATAATTGTTTTTCTCTAGGTGTTCTGTATGGATTTACACAGAATAATACCTAAAATTTATTTACTGGTATTGTTGGATGCTAGAGATTTGATAGTGCATAAAATGTGAAAAGTGGTATTATGTGAAAATGGGAGATGACTAGATCTTTACATACTGCAAAATTACACCATCAAATAACTATCAAGCTTCTGAAAGTCAGAAAGTCCAGGGAATATGACATAAAATCTTAACTACTCTAGCCACCATTGTTCTGTTCTAAGCATTTGTTATTATCAGACATACATTGTTCAAATGCAAAAATATTAGTAGGTTATTTTGCTACTGTCATAAAAAGTAAAAGTAGGGTAATGAGATAGTTGATATGTAAGGACGAGGTGTAGCTGTCTTCCAAGGAAATTTAAGCAGGATATCTAACTCTATTTCCTAGACATCTAATATTATTTTAGAATTATTATTTTTCAGTTAGGTTTTTTTTTTCATTTAAGTTAATTCAAGTCTGATGGGACACAATCTGTTGTTCTCGTTTTATACTAATTAACATTAAGTACAAGCATTTATGCAGGTTGTACCTAATTTAAGATAGCTACTACGGTCTTGTTGGAAGGACGAGCGGCATCAACTTCCATAATAACTTGCCTCCAGAAACCCTATGTACCTGGAGACAGGATGAAAGACACCCAAGCACTGAGGACTCTCCATAGGGTCACTATGAGTCGCCTGCTACTTGATGGCACTTAACAAGAACTCTAGTCTTGACTTTCGTGTACAATGTTTTTGGATGTAGAAATCCCTCTATTCATTATTCTTTGTAAGTTTCAAAGTATTGCAAATTCACAAGTGCATAAACTGGTAGATTTATTTGCTTTTTAAAATTTTAGCATGGCCAAAATGTAATCAATAAATTAATGAAACCATTTCATTATTTGTACAGGAAATTATATCCAGATGAGTTGAACTACGATATCATTACCTATCCTCATCATACCTGGGATACAATTTTGCTTTCCCAAGAAGAAGATGTAAAGATATCATTGGAAGGATCCAGTTTCATTGCATTTATCTGTTCCTGTTTCTCTGATTCCAACTCAAGGCAATCCCATATGTATCGGAATAGATCTGAGTGCAATAGAATTTTCACATGCTGACACTTGGTGGGAGATCATTATCCTTTTCTAACAAGGTGCCTCTTATTAGAAACACCAGCTATTCAGTCGACAACTAGAAAGTTGACTGTACCACTCAGAGTGAACACATATAGTAGCAACCAAAATGTCAGTACTCACGTTGGCCTCAGATTCATATAAGATTAATTTGAATAACATCACTGAAGTCACTGTGTTCACATTGCTGGGCTTCACATATGATTTTGAGCTCCAAGTCTATCTCTTCTTATTATTCCTTGCAATCTACGTTTTTACTTTGGTAGGAAATTTAGGATTAGTTTTATTAGTCATGGTAGATTCTCGACTTCATAACCCCATGTACTATTTTTTGAGTGTATTATCTTTCTTAGATGCTTGCTATTCTTCAGTTGTCACCCCCAAAATGCTGGTCAACTTCCTGACGGAGAATAAAGCCATTTCATGGCTTGGATGTGCGACCCAGATGTTGCTCTTTGTTACCTTTGGGACAACAGAATGCTTTCTCTTGGCAGCAATGGCTTATGATCGCTATGTAGCCATCTACAACCCACTTATGTATTCAGTTAACATGTCGCCAAGAGTATATGTGACACTCATCATTGCTTCATACGTTGGTGGTATTTTGCATGCTACTTTACACACAGTGGCAACTTTTAGCCTCTCCTTCTGCGCCTCCAATAAGATTAAACATGTCTTTTGCGATATTCCCCCACTTCTTGCTATATCCTGTTCTGATACTCACATAAATCAACTTCTACTATTCTATGTTGTAGGTTCTATTGAGATATTCACTATTCTGATTGTCTTGATCTCTTACGGTTTCATTTTATTGGCCATTCTGAAGATACGCTCTGCTGAAGGGAGGCTAAAAGTGTTTTCCACCTGTGGTTCTCACCTAACTGGAGTGTCAATTTACCATGGAACAATCCTCTTCATGTATGTGAGGCCAAATTCTAGCTATGCTTTGGATCATGACATGATAGTTTCTATATTTTATACAATTGTGATTCCCATGCTGAATCCCATCATTTACAGTTTGAGGAATAAAGATGTGAAGGAGGCAATGAAAAAATTGCTTGAAAGGAGTTGGTTCAAAATGAAAGTATATTTTTAGCCTTGTGAAGCTGAGATAAGAGTTGATTGTCAACTCATATTTCTGTGGTTTGAAGGCAGAGAAGAAAATATCTTTTAATAAAAATAGGCAATATCTATTCTAGAACATTCCCAAGCCATTAGACAAGTTTTAAAGAAATTATTTCATTAGCACAGTTGCATTATAGAATTTATATGCCTATAAATGATTTTCAAGTTGATCCATATTAAATATTTATTGGTGGACATGCACTTTTATGATTAATATTTAATAAACTTGATTTTTCACTTACAATTATGATGACATTCTGAGAACTCTCTGACTCCACAAATTTCACATTGATCATAAATATTCAGCAAAGATTTTAAAGGGAATTTCTATTCTGGAATCCTTGTGGAGGACCTTAAAAGACTGCTAGTAAAAAAAAACAAAACAAAACAAAACAAAACCTGCTAGTGGTTTATGGCCTCACAAATAAAGCTCTGTGGCCGAGTACATAAATAACTGTACTGATTTCCCAAAGGCCTTACCCTTCTGCGAGTTTGAATCCATCACCAGATTTGCACGGGAAGGATAGCAACCCAGCTCCATACAAACTACAGCCCCGGAAACTTGATGAGGGAGCTGAGGCAGATTGAGTTGCCCTCACACTCTCAGGTCTTTCTACACCTTTAGAAATGACTTCTACACTATTTTACTTCAGCAGGCATTTTTATTCTATTATTACAATCTTTCTTTGCCATAAACTGAGTGGAGAAATTTATTTGACTCATTCTGGAACTACTGAGTGAATAGATGATGATTATTTATTGACCATAAACTTAAGGTTCAGTGAAAGTGAACATAGAGCTTAAAGAATAAATTATAATTGGTTACTGTATAGAATTTTTCCTAAATCTGAGTAAAAATCCTAGTTCTTCTCTGAGGAACCTTTTAGTAGTTCTAGTTCAATTCCCGACACTGCTTTTTTACTAGATAGATAGATAGATAATCATATCACCTCATTATTTTTTTTTGGTTTTTAAACATAACAGCAACAACAACATATCCTAACTATCTAAACAATGTTTTTTGTGCAAGACAATTTCAAAGCGTGCATTTAAAACCAAGAGCCATAAATTTTAGAGTTTTTAATTTCATAAGGTCAATTAATAAAAAAATAACTTTACATTTCTATTGAAACAAGGAAATATTAGACAGGAGATTATTGCTTAAACCTATACTCAAATTTCCTCTAACAGTTTTAAGTATCTGAGATGTAATACATACATCTTTTAAAAAAGTATTCTATTTGATGACAAAGTAACCTAAAACTACTTATGAACATTATCTCCTGAAATAGTCTTTCTAGCACGAGAATAGTCTTTTCTAAAGAGCTCCTAAGAATTAATAAACTTTTACAAAATTCAAAATTTTTAGAACATTGCTGGATTATTCAGAATAAGAGTAGAGAGTGAATGGAGGATGAAGATTTCAATGTTGTAAAGACTCAATCCACGCTGTCCCTTACTTTGTCAAGTCAGTGCCCTTTTGAGCAAATATAAATACGTGGGCATAATCTTCTCTTGGAAAAGAAGAGATTAACTGACTAAGCAAAATTTCACTCTATCTCAGAAAACCAATAGAGGGCCAGTTATGAGTCAGCTCTGATGCTGAGGTAATGAGTCATATCTAAGTCATATCTAATTTACTTTCTTCATTTAATAAAAATTTGTTTTATAATTTAATTAACGCCGTGGTTCATTTTATAAAAAATATTTTTATCAAAAATATTAAGTAAAACTTTCATTAACATTTTAGTTGTTTCAAATATTTGATTCTTACTCTTTTATTATTACTATGGAGCTCTGGTTTCCTAGTGCATTGAATGTTGCACTGATAAATAAAGGTCAGTGGCTTGAATCTACCAACTGCTTCTCAGAAGAAAATTAGGCAGTTTCCTTCCATAAAGATTTTATCCTTGGAAATCACATAAAAGGTCACTATGTGACAAAATAAACTCTATACCAGTGAGTTTGGTTTGAGATCATGATATTTTAAATTACTTCATATGTTGTTGTTCTTATATGCCGTCAACTCCCTTGCAACTCATAGCGACCCTATGTACAACAGCCCTAAACTCTGCTTTGTCCTGTGCTATCTCTGACACACCCATTCCGATTACCCCAGTCACTGAATCAATCCACCTCATAGAGGGCCTTCCCCTCCTGCACTGTCCCTCCACCCTCCCAAGCATGATGTCCTTCTCCAAGGACTGGTCTCTCCTCACAACATGTCCAAAGTATGTTAGACGGAGCCTCAGAATCCTTACCTCCAAGGATTATTAGTTCATATACATAAGAAATTTATTCTAAATAACACAGAAGAGGACTGTAGAAGAATGGATATCTTTGAATTTTTATACTGGACAACTATACTGAGAACATCATGTTGTAGAAGAGTTTAGATGACATTCCTGTCCATGGGTATTGACTTTGCCACATGGTTGGATGGAACAATACCAACAAAGTTAAAGAAGTGAAATAGTGTTTTTGAAAGTAAGTATGCTAAACATGTATGTAGAACAGTAATAAAGGGATTGGTCATTTTGCCATACTACCAAGTTTAAATTAGCAGAATCTGTTACATAAGGTGGGAATAGATCTCTACTAGAAAGAAGAAAAAACCAGACAGAGAGCCCAGTTGACATCTATTTAGGATAGAGCTTCTTATGTCAGTCAGACTGAGACAGAGATTAGAAAGGCAGCGATAGTGAAGAACAGGAAAGCTGGAGCCAGAAATGACTGGAAACTGCCTATAGCAAGAACTAGAGCCAATGGTTTTAGCCTCAGTCTGTGTAAGGACTGAGGGAAGATTCCATAATTGACATCTCAAAAAGAACCTTGTGAAGTGACCTAGAACAATTGATTGTGCTTATGCAAAAACTACATTTGGACTAGGAAGCTGCTTCAGAACAGAGCAAAAAAGCACATGGTTCAAAATAAAATCAAAGGAGTGCATCATGATTGTGTCCTGTCTCCAAACATTTTCAATCTGCATGCAGAACAGTTAATGCTGTTGAGCAAGCTAGTTGTATGGAAATGTATAAGTTTAGTAGTGCTATGATAGCATTTGGGAGGCTGGGCTTTATGATGAAGAATGTGGCATCAGGACTGGAGGAAGACTCACCTACAACCTGAGATATACAGATGATACAACCTTACTTGTAAAATCTGAGAAGGACCTGAAGTGTTTAGGGCTGTTCTACATAGGGTCGCTATGAATCGCAGGCGATTCAATGGCACATAACAACAACTCACATAATTTGGGCACTTGTCCTGGAGAACAGAGTCCTTAGAGAAGAACACTGTGCTTGGAAAGGTGGAGGGGACAGCAAAGGAAAGGAAGACCCCATATGAGATATTGATACAGTGACTTAGGTAGTGGGAGATTGGCTCAGGGTTGGGCAGGCTTCAGAGCTGTTGTACATAGGATTACTCTGAGTCAGAGGCAACTCAAATGTACAGACATAACAACAAGAATGCTTTGTAATATTGGCCTGGAGTCTGATGGCTGAGGGACAAAGCCTTGCCTGATGCTACACCATCGTCACAATTTCTGCTGTGCTCGAGCCAGTTGTTAACATCACTCGGCCCACATAGCTGGAGTTGAATAACCAAAAGTGAAGAATACACTTGGCATCCTCAAACTGAGAGAACCGAAGGGGAAACAATCAAGTCCAAAGTTAAAGTGATGAAAAATCTTATGGGCAATGTAATGAATGATGCTGGAAACATGAAGGGAAAATGAGAAGAATGTGATGAGTATCATTGCAGTGAAAAATAAAATAGGTTGACATAAAATCAGATCAGGAGGCAGCATATGATTAAGAAACAGTGGTACTAAAGTCAGAAACCCAGGCTGCACTGAAGGTGTTGGGGAAAAAAACAAAACACAAAACCAACAACCCGCAAACAAAGAAATAACAAAAAACAAAAAACTGCAGGAATTAAATTACCAATTGATTTATTTCAAAAAACAAAATTCGCAAAGTGCTAATTTTTCTCATAAGACTTAACTGGATTAAAGGTACATATCTAAAAATAGTACTTCAATATATGTGAAGCAAACATCATTAGAAGTGAAAGGAACAATATCTAAATACACAATTACAAGTAAAGATTTGGCCTTTTTTCCTCAGTGTTGCTAACATCAGTAGAAGAAAAGCAACACATGTCATATAATTTGTCCCCAGATGTTACAAATTTGTTGTTGTTGTTGGGTGCTATGGAGTTGAGTATGCCTCATAACAACACTATTCCGTCCTGTGCCATCATCACACTTCCTGACACGCAAGAGCCCATTGCAGCAGTCACTGCATCAATACACCTGGTTGAGGGTCTTCCTCTTCTTCACTGATTCTTGGCCCTTCCCCGCAACATGTCCTTCTTTAAGGAACAGCTCTTCCTAGCAATATGTCCAACGTATGTGAGGCAAAGCCTCATCATTCTTGCCTCCAAAGAGCACTCTGGCTGCATGCTCTCCAAGACATCCATGGGATGTCCAGTGCTCTTCTCCAACACTACAACTGAAAGTTGTCAATTATTTTTCTATCATTCTTTTTCATTGTCAAGCTCTCAGCTGCATAGCTAGTAATCAAAAAGACTATGGCCTGAATCAGACACACCTTAGTCCTCAGACTGACCTCATCATTACTCAATAATTCATAGAGATCCCTAACTGCAGATTTTCCCAGTGCAATGTGTCTTATTTCCTGAATGCTGGTACCAGGTTTGTTAATTGTGGATCCCTGCAAGATGAAGTTGTTGACAATTTCAGTCTCCTCTCCACCCATCATGACACTGCCTATCTTTCCAGTGGTAAGAATTTTTGTTTTCTTGATGTTGAGGTGCAATCAGTACTGAAGGCCGCATTCCTTGATCTTCTGCAACAAGTGCTTCAAATTCTCCTCACTTTCAACAATCAAGGTTGTGTTATCTGCATAACACAGGTTATCGATAGGTCTTCCTCAAAACGTATACATTGCTCAGCATACAGATTGAATAGGTGTGGACAGAGAATACAACTCTCATGCACTCCCTTCTCAATTGTAAACCATGCAGTGTTCCCTGCTCTGTTTGCACAACAGCCTCCTGGTCCAGATATAGGCTCCACATGACTACAATTAAGTTCTCTGGGACTTCTGTTCTTCTCAGTGTCAGTAACAACTTGGTATGATGATGTTGTTTTTGTTATGCACCGTCGAGTCACTTGCGACTCATAGCGACCCTATGTACAACAGCCCTAAACTCCGCTCTGTCCTGTGCCAATCGCTGAACATCCGATACACCCACCCTGACTACCCCAGTCACTGAATCAGTCTACCTCATAAAGGGTCTTACCCTCCTGTGTTGCCCCTCCACCCTCCCAAGGATAATGTCCCTCTCTAAGGACTGGTCCCTCCTTACAACATGTCCAAAGTATGTCAGATGAAGCTCCAGAATCCTTGCCTCCAAGGAGCAGCTCGGTTTAACCCTCTCTAGGTTGAATCTGTTTGTTTTCTTAGCAGTACATGGTATTTTCAATATTCTTCTCCAACAAATACTAATAGCACATTTCGAGAGTGTTGGTGGTCTAGTGCACAGAGAGGTACACTGCCAATGTAAAGGCAGCATATTTGAACCCATCAGCTGTGTGGTCTGAGAAAAATGTGTGGTCTCCTCTCCTGTGATTTACAGCCTCTGAATACCTCTGAAGGGTCAGCTCTGCATCAGTTCTGACTCAATAGCACGAGTGAGTGAGTGAGTGAGAGTGGCACACATATAAATAATCAGTGATCCCAGGAAGTATTTATTCACAAGAGAAAAGACCAAAGGCTATGTTTTTTTAAAGACACTTGATATCACGCATCAGTCTCTCGGATAAAATGAATTTCTTTTTAAATGAATTAATAGAAAGAATACTTATGTTAGGGGAGAAAGGAAGCATTCTAATCAATAGGCTGAAAGCTTACAAAAATCATTTTTAGAAAGAAATAAAGGAAGAATATAAGATAAGAGCAGAAATGCATTTTAAAATACTCCTATTCAGATACTCACCTGCTCACCTGGATCGCTTATTTTTGATGAAAAGTCTTCAGTGCCAAGAATATTATTCAGAGATTGCGATTGGAAATAAACAACTTATATGAACTTAGTGATGCACAAAACATGGTGAAGTAGAAAGTCTACTCTACAAATCTTTTCAGAAAAGTGCGGTCGCTCTTATTAGGTACCCTCAAGACAACTACAAATTTTTCAATGTTGTTGGTTAATTACTTTGGAGTTGGCTAGTACTTGTAGTGACTCTATAACAACAGGTTAACTTTTCCTGTGTCATCCACATTATCTCTGCTATAATCTATTCCATTATTATAATTAACTATCAATCCATCTCCTTGAGATAATTTCTTTTCAATCTTTCAAACATATTTTGTTCTAACATATTAATTTCTAAATATCTCTGCATCTTTCCTTTCTTTAGCAATATTATGCTAATCATCTCCTTACTGTATATTGCCTTTTCCTTAACCTATTTTAATATGTGTATATTATCTATTTATTAATGTTTATTCCCCTTTCCCACCCCCCTACTCAACCCTAACAACTACCCAATAATGATTTTACAGGTGCATAAAACTTCTCTTAGCTTTTATAACAGTGATTACATGCAATATTTGTAGATTTGTGGCCAACTTCATTCAGCATAATGCCTTCTGTCTTAAACAGTTGCTGCAAAAGGTCACAAAGACTGTAGTCTTTAATATGGCTTGAAGTTCAACATCAAGAAGATAAAGATTCTCATCATTCGGCCAACTAGCAGCACCATGAGAGATGGAGAAGAGATTGAAGTGGTTAACAATTACAGCTTTCTTGGCTCCACAATTAACATTCAACATCAGCAATCAGGAAATCAAATGAGAAACTGCTTTGGGAAAATCTGCTGTTAGAGACCACTTCAGAATGCTGAAAAGCAAAGGTGTCAGTCTAGACACTAAGTTGTCCCTAATCCAGGCCATGGTCCTCACAATTACTTACTATGCATCAGAGAGATGGACAATGACTAAGGATGAAAGATTGATGCCTTTGAGTTGTGGTGCTGGAGAAGAGTCTTGAACATAGTATGGACCACCAAGAAAACAAATAGTTCTGTCTTTAAGAGGATGAAACCAGGTTTCTCCTTGGAGGCTGGGGTTTTGAAGCACCATCTCACAAAGTTTGGGTACGTGGCCAGGAGAGACCAGTCCTTGGAAAAGGACAATATGCTTGGAGGTGTGGAGGAAGAGAGCAGAAGAGGAAGACCCAGAAGAGAGGGATTGATACAGTAACTGAGACAATGGGGGGTTGGTGTGTTGGAATTAGTGAAACTGGCTCAGGACAGGGCAGGGCTCAAAGTTGCTATCCACAGGCTCGCTATGGGTCACAGGTGACTCGACTGGCACATAACAACAACATGCAGTGTTTCATTAATCATTGGTTGTCTTTTATTTTGAAGCCACCAGCTGCTAGTTCTTATTTTGAGAACAACTCAGGGAGACTCAAGTCTTAATTGTCTAATTTTTTGCTCTTAATTTCCTAATAACTGAGAGTACAAAATACCAAACTATATTGATGGTTGATTTAGCAATTTATTTACATGTTTCTCTGGAACATTCTACTCACACATGGATAATTGGGCATGAATTCAGTCGTTGCACCGACAGCTCTAGACTTACTTTTATATGCTTATGTTCCACGCAGTGATGCACTTGAATGACCACCTAGCACAGCAATTCATTACTACATGCAAACAAATAACTGATGGTTCACCTCCTAAATGTAAAGACTCAAATTAATACATTAGTCTGTAGGATGTCATTTGGTTCACCATAGTGTTTTCCCAAGGCAGAGTTGTTTAATGTCTGAATCCGTTCAGGTTTGCTTTTTCACAAGCATACTTTCGCTATGAGAATATTTTTTTATGCATGACTCTTATGAGAGCGTTCTTCACGTCTTTGTTCCTCAGACTGTAGATCAGTGGGTTCAGCATTGGGATGACAATGGTATAGAATACAGATGCCACCTGTGCCTGGGTCAGGGAGGACGTATTGTCAGGCTGTAAATACGTGAAGATCAAGGATCCGTAGAAGACGGTTACACCCATGAGGTGCGAGGCACAGGTGGAGAAAGCTTTCTGCCTGCCTGCTGCAGACTGGATCCTCAAGATGGCTGAGATGATGGCAATATAGGTGACGGTGATGATTAGAAGAGAGCTGAGGAGGGTGAACCCAGCTAAAACAAAGATGACCATTTCTGTGCTGAACGCATCCTCACAGGACAGGGCTAAAAGGGCTGTGGTGTCACAGAAGAAATGATTGATGTTGGACTCACAGAACGGCAAACTGCTTATCACACAAATGGATATCAGAGAGTTTGTGAACCCAATCACGTAAGGTGCGGTTCCCAGACAATTGCAGACTTTCTGAGACATAGCTACCGAGTAGAGTAGGGGATTGCAGATGGCTGCATAGCGGTCATAGGCCATGGATCCCAGCAGAAAACACTCACTGCACACCAGACCAACGAAAAAGTACATTTGGACAAAGCAGCCGATGAATGAGATGGTCTTCTGGCTGGACTGGAAATCGACCAGAGCCTTGGGTGTCACAGTGGAGGAGTAAAAGATGTCAATGAATGCCAAATTACTAAGGAAAAAATACATTGGAGTATGAAGGTGAGAGTCAATTCTGATTAATATGATTAGTCCAAGGTTCCCCAAGACAGTGAATAGGTAAATAAACAAAAAAATCATAAAAAGACTGACTTGTAGTTCAGGATGGTTTGCAAATCCAGAGAGGATAAAAAGAGTCACCTCCGTGAAATTGGACACAGCCATTTATTCCAACTGAAGTTGTTGGTGTACCTGGTATATACAAATAATAAAAGTCAGAGTGCTGTTTGAGGCTAAGGATCTCCTAAAAGGTGCTTACCTTTTAAATTAAAGTAATTAAATAAAGGTTAGATGAGAATCTGGACCATTTACATTTCTTGCAGAAGTGACCGACATGGAAATAAAACTCCGACATTCACAGCTGTGTTTAGCTAATAGTACTCCAGCAAATTCCAGTTTGGAATTCTTTAATGATCTTTCCCCTGATATATAACCTGTACACTAACCTATAACTAAGTCTTACGCTGTATACTTGACAATTTATCTATTGATATTAATTCTAGCTAAATTTATTATAGTTGATTCCCACTCACAGTGAACCTGGAGGACAAAGTGAAATTTTCCCTTGGGATTTTGAATGCAGTAAACCTTTGTGGACACTGCCTGCCACGTGTTTCTTGTGCAGGATGACTTACAGATTGAAGTGTAAAATTTTTCAACTAGCTAGATGTGGCATCAGAGCCTCTCAAGTCAATTATGTCACTAGATAGTTGTGGTGTGGTTTTTTTTTGGTTTTTTTTTTTTTTAAAAACCCTTCATTTGAATGAAGAGACATCATTTTTAATTTAATCAAAGTCACGTTCAGAAACTATCATCTTGACATCTGAGAAGCAGCTTATATTTTCAAAAGAGTTGAATAAAAACTTAGATGGACATTTCTGCCATTCCCATTAACTAGAATAAGCTTTGCTGAACTTTGTAAATGAATAACAAGGAAATAAAAATGTATTTCGAAATGTCCTGTATACTTTTCTTGCTTGACCTCAAATTGTTTGCTTTTTTCCTGTCTTTATTGTGAGCTAAGATTAAATCAAGAACTTAATCCACGATATATTTGAAATTATATTGCATGCGAAAAAAAAGTTCCCAATTTAAACGAAGTGCTAGCTAAGATACTTGGAACTAGCCAATTCATTGCCAAACAGTGGTATTTAAGAAGGATAATAAAACAATAAGTGTGGTTTGCCATATTTAAATAAACAGAATTATAAAATCTACAGTTATATATTAGAGTGATAATTCAGTTGCTGTAAATTTGTGAGAACTACAATTTGAAATCTGATTTAGGTTTATTTCACACCTATCACACTATATTTAAATTACTCAAAGCGGCTTAATACTTTAATGTTGTTGTTGCTACAAGCTGAGTTGATTATGATTCACAGTGAGCCTATTAACAGTAGCTTCAAATTTTGCCTTCTCCTATTTAATCCTCACCATTCCTACCATCCTCAAGCCCATGTTGCAGTCACTGGGTCAATCTATCTTGTTAGGATTCTTTCTCTCTTCTGCTGACCCTCTTCTTTTCCTAGCATGATATATCTGTCTAAGACTTGTGCCTCCTACAGCATGCCCCACAGTAGGTGAGAAGAAATTTCACTATCTTTCCTACTAAATTTCCATGCATTCCTATTTATTCATTTATTCAGTTATCAAAAATTTACTCAGTGAAAGTATTTTCTCATTAGGGTAGATTTTTTATGTCCACTGGATATGAAAAACTAGTAAAACCGATATTTCTTGTTATAGGAAATACATACACACATACAATGTTTCAGACAGAATAAGATATTAACGTTAAGACTTACTTGGAATTCTGTTATCCAAAGAAAATGCACTTTTAAGCTGTCATATTTTCAGATTCATATTGAGACAATAAGAAAATATTGTGCAGCTTCACCAAAGAACTGTTGATTTTTGCATATGTCTGCCTCATCTATGACTTTGACTCTGATGAACTGTGTGCTTGATGGCCGGTGTCTATTGTTCAGTCCAGAGCTTGTTTCCAATATCATGGCCCCTCTACAGGTAAAATGATTTTGATGAAAAAATAGTGGTGTTGTAGGGGATAGTGTTGAGTGATGATAGTAATTGATTTCTTTTTCATTGATGGACTAGATATAGGAAATCAATTAACAAAAAATATTTTTTATTTAATGTCTCTTTTTGTGGTTCAGCTCTAGATTCGTACTTAGCATTGACTATGACCTCAGAGTATTTATAAAGCAGTCTCGTGATGATAGTCTTCTGAAATCAAGTGTGGCAGGCAATCTTCTTATATCAGAGTCTCTTTTGCAAACTCTCAAACATATCTCATAAAGAAATTGGTCAATTAGAATCCTTCCTCTCTTGGGGTTTAGATTTTAATTGTATCCCAAGGCCTTTCATGACTATTTTTGAGGTACATTTCTAGTTGAAATGTTCATCAATGCATATATTCCTCCCTTCTATATGCATATTGAAGTTCATTATTATAATTTTAAAAATAATTTTATATCAGAACATGTTTTAAAGGATTATACTCAGTATGAACATTGTCTTTTACAATTCAGATTTTTGTAATTATATCTTCCTGACACTGACCAAAAAGTACAACAACAACAACCCCTTAGTCCTGACCTATAGGTGTCTGTTTTGTTTTCGTCTTTTTAAAAAGTTTTTATTTTTTTTATTATACTAGTTTATTTACAAAATTTGAATACATTGTTTTCCACAACAAATTCTTCAATTTTCCTCAAAGTATCTGTTGTAAGTACATCCCCCTCCTTGATGTTTAACATGGGAAAAGAGTCTTATCAAATATTTCAATGATGAAGGGGTTGTTAGTTTTGTTTGTTTGTTTGTTTACCACTGAATACTTACATTGAAAAATTCAAACTCATTGCTTTTAAGTTGGCTCGAAGCTTAGGCTCCAGCAGCTCAGCTCCAGCGGATTTCAGAGGTTGCAAACTGTACAGGAAGAGACTGCCCACCTTCCTCGTGGGGAACTGCGGGTGAATTTGAGTTACCGGAAAAGCATGGTTTAGCAGCACAACTCCCTACAGTCTATATAACCGTAATTCCTGAAGAGTTATATAAGCAAGCAAATAAAATATGCAGGGTATTCTTTTTATCTACCTGTCTATCTCTCTACTACTTAACAATCTGCATCTTTCTATCCACTCATACAGACGCATGTCCAGGAAGGCCAATTACTCATTTTACAATAGTCTGTATTTTAAATTTGCCCTTCCATTTTAATTTTATTTTATTACTTCATTTTGAAAACTAATCTCTATAAAAGTCTCATATAAATGCCACACAAATGTGGTCTCATAAAGCCTAGTTTTAAATACTAAGCTAACATTATTGCAAACCTATAGAGCACTCTGCCAGTACTAGGGAACTCTGTGGCCTAGTGGGTAAGGAGCTGGGCTGCCAACTCAAAGGTATGGAAGTGGAAACCACCAGCTGCTCTGCACGAGAAAGATAGCTAATCTCCTCTCCTGTGATTTATACCCTCCAGAAACGTACTGGAAGATCGGCTGTGAGCGAGTTCCTTCTCAATGACAATGAACAATAGAATGCTATATGACGTTTCAATGTTATTACTCTGAAAGCTAGTCTTTTCTAAAACATCCTTTGCATGAATTCTAAAATAATAATAAATAGTTCAAATCTTTACCTGTGCCATTTTAAAAATAAAGATATTGGTGCCATATTAAATGTATTAATATATGATTGTGGATATAACTGAAAGGCATTTAAAAGCAAATGAATATTTATAGAAACTGCAACTCCCTTGTATTTAATAACCCAGTTGCAGTATCACAATTTAGAAACAAAACTCCAAGATTTCTATATAGTTTTATTTGTTGAATAATAATTTTTTCCTGCAATACTTTTCTCCCTAGGTTGAAAAGTTTATGGAAACTTATGGACAAGTTCTGAAATAATGAGTTTTTAAAGACTTAATTTTATGATGATGTTCTGATGTATATCTATGTCTGTATCTATCTCTATCATCTATATCTCTATCATCTCTATCTGTATCTCTATCTCTATATCTATCTATAATCTATATCTAATTTGATATAGATATATGAAATATACATACACATACATGTAAACACACATACACATATATACACATACACACACATTTTATTAAAGGGAATATGTTGGTTTATCCTATATAAATGGAGCTTTGGGAATATACTCCAAGAAAATGAGAATTGAGGCACAAAAGGAGATTTGTACATCAATGTTCATAACAGCATTATTAGCCATAGCAAGAACATGGAAACAAGCAAAATGTCCAACCACAATTGGATGGACTGAAAAATTATGGCACATTCATATGATGGGATACTACACAGCACACAGGAGCAAGGATTTAGAAAATTACTCCCTAACTTGGGAGGGATTGGAGAGCATTATGCTAAGTGAACTAACTCACTCTCATAAAAACAAATACTATATAAGACCATTATTCTAGAGATAGATAACTAGGAAAACATGTATGAGGATCTGGGGGGGCGGGGAGAGGGCGAGCAGAGCGGTGAAGTGAGGGGAAGAGAGATAATTATAAAATTGTACAATTGGGTGGAGGGAGAGGTGAATAAAGGAAATGGGAAAGATATTTTGTGAGCAACAATGTATATGAACTTTGTAAGTAAACCAGTACAAAAGAAAAAAATTTGTTTAAAATTAATAATAATAATAAAGGGAGCTATGTAACTATCTAGCCCAGTGGCAAGAAGCTGTGCTGCAATTCTAAAGGTACAGAGTCTGAATCTACCAGCTGCTCGATGGGAGAAGGATGGGCAGTCTCCTCCCATGCAATTAACTGCTTCTAAAAATCTACTGGAGGGTCAGCTATGGGTCAGTTCTGAATGGCATACAACAACAGCAATCCCATAAGAAAGTGCTTGATCACTCTAGCTAAAAGTATCTTTCAGAAATATTTTGTTTTGAAATATCTATTGTGGTGGGAAAGTCAGCTGTTAGGGACCTCTCCAAAGTACTGAAGAGCAATGGTGTCTCTCTGGAGACTAAGGTGTGTCTGATACGGGCCATGGTCTTTGTAGTCACTTGTTGTGCATCAGAGAGATGGACAATGACCAAGGAGGATAGAAGGAGAATTGATGCCTTTTAGCTGTGGTGCTGGAGAAGAGTATTGAGGGTACCATGGACTGCTAGGAAAACAAACAGATTCATCCCGGAGAGGGTTACACTGGGCTGCTCCTTGGAGGCAAGGATTCTGAGGTTCCGTCTAACATACTTTGGACATGTTGTAAGGAGAGACTGGTCCTTGGAGAGGGACATCATGCTTGCGAGGGTGGAGAAACAGTGCAGGAGAGTAAGGCCCTCTATGAGGTGGATTGATTCGGTGATTTTGAATTTTGTCTTTCTTATTGCCAGTGATTTGGAGCATTTCTGCATGTGTTTGTCCACATCTCACACTACACACAGAAATCACCTCGAGGTGGATCAGAGACCTGGGAGTAAAGCCCAAAGCCAGAGAGTTCATAAGAGACAAATTGGGATCAAACTTAGAAGAGTTAGTCTATGGTAAAAAGAGACTACAAAATACAACCAGAAATGCACAATCTGAAAAGGATAACATTGATGAACAGGACCTTCAAAAGATTAAATTCCTATGCTTATCAAAATCTTTTGCCAGTAGGGTGAAAAGAAAACCTACTGACTGGGAACAAACATTTGTCAATATCATCTCAGACAAGTATCTCACAACAAAAGTTTACAGAACACTTCTGGGCCTCCACAGAAGAAGACTGATAATCCAATTACAAACTGGGCAAGAACATGGGAAGAATTTTCAAAGAGGAAGATATTAAAATATTTATACTTATTTTGAAGAGTGCCAAAATACAGATATCTGTAGAATACTTCCTGGCATGTGAATGTAGTCGTTTTCTAGATAATTAAAATACTATTTCCCCCTCTTAGTTATTTCCATAGTTCAAGGAAAAGGCAAGACCATTGTTAAATGCGGTCAGCTAAATTCTTACTCACAGCACCCTCATTCATGTCCAATACTTGGAAATATTGCCCAGTCCCATACCATCAGCACACTGTCTGCTGTGCCTAGATCTATAGTGTGTTAGTCACTGTGTCAATCAATTCCTTTGAAGGTCTTTCTCTCCTACACTCATCCTCCTGTTTTCCCCAACCATTTGACCCTTACCCAAGACTGAACTTCTGACCAAATGTCCAAAGTACATGAGATGAAGTCTCATCATCCTTGCTCATGGAATGAGTGGCTCTGACTACACATCTTCTAAAACAGATTTGTTTGTTCTTGTGGCAGCCTAAGAGAGTGTCAGTACTTTTTACTGCACAAAAGCATCACTTCTCATCCAGTCTTCCTTATTCATTGTCTAACATTCTCATGCTTAATAAACAATTAAAAATTACATGGTTTGAGTTTGGAGCATAGTAGTCTTTAAAGGGACATCTCTGCCACACTTTACAGAGGTCCTTGCAGTTGTCGTCCCTGATTTTGTTGTGTGCCACATCGCTGACCCTCCAGTGGGTTTTCAAAGGCCATAAATAGCATGAGAGGAGGTTGCCCACCTTTCTCCCTAGAACCTACTGAATACGGGTGTATTCAACCTGCACAACTTGGAGTTGGTAGCTCAACTCTTTACCACTAGAGAATCGTAGCTCTCTTGCCAATGAATAATAAGAAATATTGTGTTATTTTAAAAGAATAGGTTAGCATTTCTCTATTTTTTTTTTGCATGTTGTGCCAAGAAATACATGTACTTATTTCTCTTTACATAAGAAAGTAGAAACATCATAGACTGCTTGTGGAGAGAAACCTAGGCTATTTTAAGCAAATTGCTGCAATAAAGAGCCCTAGCCCTTTTTGGTATGTTTTTCTGCCTCAAAACTCTAAATAAAAAGTACATTTTTCAATCAAATGAACCCAAAGACTCATTTAAGGTTTTTCTTTTAATACATTTATATAAACCTTCATTAGAGAGAGCACAGATTTATAGTCTCTTTTTGGAAAATTAGCAGGGGAAATGTTTAAGTTCTATCGCCCTCTTCACAGCGTCCTTTACATCCTTGTTCCGTAGGCTGTAAATCAAAGGGTTTAACATGGGAATAACCAGAGTATAAAACACAGACACAACCTTTTCTTGTTCTAGGGAGTATTGGGAGCTTGGTTGTATGTAACTAAAGCTTATAGAGCCGTAGAACAAAGTCACCGCTGTCAGATGTGAGGCACACGTGGAGAAGGCTTTGTGTCTACCAGCTGCCGAACGGATCTTCAGGATGGCGGCAACGATGAAGATGTAGGAGATGATGACAGTTAAAAATGTGATCATGGCGATCACAGCGGAGAAGATTAAAAGCAACAATTCGTTCATGGATGTGTTGGAACAAGACAGCTTTAACAAGGGTGGAATGTCACAGAAAAAATGACTGATGACATTCGGCCCACAGAAAGAGAGTTTCACCAGACCCAGTGTGTGAGTTAAAGAGTTAATTAAGCCTCCCACACAGGATCCTGCAACCAGGAGCACACAGACTATTTTCGTCATGGCCACTGTATAAAGCAAAGGATTTGCAATGGCCACATAGCGGTCATAAGCCATCGCTGCCAGCAAGAACCCTTCAGTGGTAAGGAGGGAAACAAAAAAAAAATATTGCACAATGCAAGCAGTAAATGAGATGGTTTCCTGTTCAGCAAAGAAGTTCAGCAGCATTTTGGGCGCAAAGACTGAGGAGTAGCAAGCATCAACAAATGACAGGCAGCTAAGAAAATAGTACATAGGTGTGTGGAGTTTGGGCGTGATGGAAATGAGAAGGAGCATTCCCAGATTAGCCACTAAAGAAATGATATAAATCAACAGGAACAGTATGAAGAGGACCACTTTCAGGTCAGCACCCTCTGTCAGTCCCAAAAGGATAAATTCAGTAACTGCCGTAAGATTGTCATGAGCCATTTGTTTCTTGATACCTGTTAATGATAAAAAAAATAACATTAATGAAAAGAAAATAGTGGCACTGTAATATTAATATTACTTGGAATCCCTGTTGCTGCCACTGGGTCAGAACCTCCTCCTTTCTGATTCTCCAGCATGTTGTCGGGGCAGTAAATGCACAGGAGGAGACAGTGAGGGCATCCTTCTCCCATGAGCAGCTGGTGGGTTTAACCGCCTGCCGTTGGGTTGCAGCACAGCTTCTAACCGGCTTGAATCTACTATCTGTTTGGTAGGACAGAAATGGGCAATCTTCTCCCATGTAATTTACTGAAAATTCACTCTAAAAACTCATTCATCTGCTTTTTTGTTTGTTTGTTTGTTTTGTTTTGACAGAGAGAAAGAATTTATTCACAAAAACACAATCCAAGAATTTGCTTCTGGTGAAACACAATGAAAAGAGAGCAAGGAATATAATGCATGTGGTTATTTTCTTGTCAGGCACGTGCTCCAATTTTTTCCTGATGAAATCTACATTGTTGCCTCACCTCCAAGTTTCATTTTGGTTTAATTGTGTAAAATATGCACCACATTTATCATTTTAACCATTGTATGTGTAACTAATCCAGTGGCACTAGGTACATTGCTAATGTTGTATGTAATCACCACTCTATTTCCAAAACAAACACACTGTTGCTAACCACTATTCTGCTTTTTAACAACCACCAGAGGGTATGCTATGAATGTGTGCTGGGTTGACAGCACATTATAATGGCAATAAAGAAAGAGCTCTATAAGTGGATTTAACACATCCATTCTCTGGTTAATTTATTTATGAACTTAGACATTGTTAACTAAAAAATACTTTCATGTCTTCCAACATTGCTTGTAAATTCTCTTAGAAAACAGTGATATTCACAGCACTGTCAAGTGCTATGAATGTTAGTGTTGACAAGGGGGAAAAAAAAACCCTAAAGCTAACAGTATCCTAAAGAAACACAATGGGGAAAAATTCTACTTTTGAAGGTTTGATGTCTGAATTTGGAAATTTAAACTGTGTCCCTCATCTAAGTTTAAAATTTTCCAAACTTTTCATTTTGAATTTAATAGCCTCTTAAATTAATAAATTTTGAATTTTTGACATCAGTAAAAATATGTGCAGGGATTAATATTGGAATGCTAATCAAAAGGTCGAGGGTTCCGTTTTATACCTGAGACACCTCAGACGACATCCTGATAATCTAATGACAAATAATTAACTATGAAAAACACTGTGGAGTACAGTTTAATTCAGAGAATACTGGGTGCTATGAGTTGAAACTGACTCAGCTTCAGATATTTTAATATCATGTATCTATCAACCTATAAGAATAAATTATGCTGTGGAATTTTGCCCTAATAGGTGTCATTTTTATTTAGTTCATAGTCCCAATTTCTTTTTTAATTTGTAAGAGACCTTAGCATCCACCAACTCTGGAGTAATCAATCTTATAAAAAAAAGGAAAGGGATTGATTTGTGAGAAAAGAGCCCACTGAAAGTGGGGGAAGGGACGTGGTAAAACATGATAAATAGCAATGTATTAATTGATTTTGATATCCAATAGAAATGGCTTACCGAGATATAAGGAGTAAAGACTTCTTACTGTTTTCCAGAAAGAGTAAAGCAAGCTTATAAGATAAACCAAACTCATAAATGATAGACATTTCTTGGCAGTATTTTCTTTTCTTTTTAGTTTTGGAAAATAGTTCTTAGAGCACATGCTAATCTATTTTATTTTAATTACACTAATAGATTAATCCAGCTTCCACATTTATATGAAATACTTTTAAAAGCCCAGAATGCTAGTATCTTTACATATGGAAAATGGATGATTTTTATGAGTATGTTGATTCATCACAGCTTTATTGAGAGAGATTACTTGAATGTAGTAGAAAAAATTCAGAAAAAAAGAACAATGTCCCAAGGCTATTAAAATATAACGATACTCGACTATTAACAATGTCAGGTAGATTTCATGGGAACATGCAGTTAAGATGTAGGTTGTAATGCAACCTTTAGAGAGGAACTTTCAATAATGGAATTAAGGCAGAAATTTTGTCTTATTTAAGAAGAAGCTGTGCAATAATTTAGATAGCAATGTAGAAAAAGGTATTGAATTTAAAGATGTGGGATGAGATTAAAACAAAATTGCAAATATCCCCCAGTCCTATATTTTCAAGTTATTGCCAAATTAAAATCTAAGTTTATCCTCTCATATATCTATTTAACAATTGATCCATGTGCATTATAAACTCCTTTGAAGAACAGAAGTTTCTAGAATAGTCAAAGAAATTAATTTAACTTACCAGTGCAAAGGAAAATGTTCAACACTTGGGATCATTTTAGGATCTCATGTTTGTCTATTTCCATAGATTGCTGTCTTATTTAAGAAAAAATGGTTGCAATTTACTTGGCGTTTGTATTGTTACTTAAAAGATAGTTACAGGTAGCAACATGAAACACCAAATTTATCCTTTAATTTATAACTATCAAATGTACAACCTGTATGGTTTGAAATCAAGAAGAATCCTTAAAAAAAAAAAAGAAAAGAAAAGATAACAAAACCAAATACAAATAAAAATCATGCCAGATTACAGCTTTATAGAAAACTCCAGTTATATATTTTCATTAGTTCAAATGGGAATAATATCCCTAGAGTCAACCTTCTGAATAAGCCAGTATAATAAATTTATTTTTTAAGTTCCTCCATGATTCTTAAGGGATTTAGAAAAACTAAAAAACATAAGGAATCCCTAGGGTATTTCAGTAAATGAATGCTACAGTGTACAGGAGGAAAGATGGCGGAAACAAAGACTATACGGTCTTCAGAATTATTGCAATACAATTGATGCTAATATATGCAAAATACTTCTGAAAAGAATATATTTTTTTAGACCTAGCTAGTGTGGAAAATCATGGGACATGATGCAAATAATAGAGAATTTTAATACAATTATAGCAAGCCCTGGTGTAAATCAATCCTATTCTTTGATACTATACCATTCTTAGAAGGGTATCAATGCAAATTGATACTAAAAATGTTGTTTACCTTTGAGCTTATTCCGACTTACAATCAAGTTAGGAAGAGACTTCCTTGACATGAAACTGATCACTCATCTTCTGAACTTTGATATTTTATCTCTGAGAAGAATGGGAATCCCAGAACATTTGATTGTGTTTATATGAAACCTTTAATTGAACCAGAAGGCAGGCAACAGAACAGAACAAGGGAACATTGTGTGGTTCAAAACCAAGAAAGGTGTATGTCAGGGTGTGTCCTAGCTCCATATCTTTTAAATCTATAAGCAGAACAGATCATCTGGGAGGCTGGGCTTTTTGAGGAGGAAGGTGATATTAGGGTTGAAGGAAGACTCATCAATAACCTGAAGTATGCAGAAGACACAATTCTACTTGCTGAAACTGAGGAGGACCTGAAGTGCTTACTGCTGAAGGTCAAGGATTGCAGAAATCAATATAGATTGAAGATCAACGTCAAGAAAACAGAGATTCTCACCACTGGGCTGATTGGCAGGATCATGATAGACAGTGAAGAGAATGAGACTGTTAATAGCTTTAGTTTGCTTGGCTCCACAATCAACACTCAGCAGACAGAAAATCAAAAGAAATTACATTAGCAAACCTGCTGTCAGGGACCTCTCCAGAGTACTGAAAAGCAATGATGTCAGTCTTGAGACTAAGGTGCACTTTATCCAAGCCATAGCCTTTGCAATTACTTGGGGTGATAGAAAGTGAATTGAAGCCTTTGAGCTGTAGTTCTGGAGAAGAGTATTGGATATACCACGGACTGGTAGGAGAACAAACAGGTTCAAGCTAGAGAGGTTGAAACCAGGCTGCTCCTTGGAGGCATAGATTTTGAGTCTTCATCTGACATATTTTGGGCATACTGCAAGGAGGGACCATCCTTGGAAAGGGATATCATGCTTGGGAGGGTGGAGGGATAGTGCAAGAGAGGAAGAACCTGGTTGAGATGGATTGAGTTAGTGACTAGAGTAATAGGCGTAAGTGTGTCAGAGACAATAAGGTTAGCACAGGATAGACCAGGGTTTGTTGTACATAGGGTTGCTGTGAGTAGCAAGCAACTTGATGGCACAACAAAAATAACAGCTACAACAGGATAATGATTCATTTGTGTTAAAATCCAAATTTAAATATAACCTAACATCTCTGTACCTTCCTATTAACTTATAATATAAATTTAGTGCATAGAAATTCTAAAATGCTTAATAAAAGGAATAAAAATAGATTTTTATTTAGGTTTAGACTTTTTTTACACATGTATATGTATACAGTTCAATTGCACCAGCCATTCCACATGCAAAAAAGTAGTTTCTATGTGCAAAGGTTTACAAGCTCAGAAATCCAATGGAAAATAACCTTGAGTCAAAATTAGCTCAGCAGAAAGTAGTGATTCGGTGAAGGATTCTTGGTTCAAAATAATTTTATTCTTTTTATGCACTTCATTTCATTTTCTACAAAACATTCCACTGTATCCTGGCCTGCAGTTGCTGGTGAAGAATCTGAACTAATAAAACCTCTTTAATAAGATATTGTGAAAAGAGTGGGTGTCATGGGATGACCAAGTCTACCTCCAAAAGGGAAGCAGTCACCATTGACAACATGTACAGCACACCACCAGTTCCCGTCATGTCAGACATGTCTCATGCTCACTGCACTTACTACTGTCAAGTCTAACCTCATGTATCCTGTCCAGAACTCTCACTGCTATTGGGTCTGCTGATTCATTCTAATGACCACACAGAAAACACAGAACCTTTAACATAATCATGGGATTTACTGGAGAAGTTAACAGGTTACAGTTCAGGTCGAAAATAGGATGCAAGTATTGGTAAGGACTGTATCTCAGGCATATTTGCTGGCCCCTGGAAACCAGTTGCTTGGTGTTAGGTCAGTGTTACAAAGCTCTCTTAGTCTTGACAATGATGATATTCCCCTAATTCTCTCA